GAAGCCCTAAACCCTCGCCCGGAAACGAGCCTGCCAATACGGAAGACCAAACAACGGAGGACCCAGAATAGGATGACATCTCACCCCAAACCAAACTCTTAGTCTTGTGAAAGATGCAGGGCTAATTGTCGCACCTGGAGCTTTCACATGTCAACAGTCCAGTGGGTAAATGTAAATTCTACGGAAAACCGTGATTGTAGGAAGAACATTGATCCAGCCGAACAGGATCCGCATACTACTGAACTGATCGCAACAATCCGTCCGATCGAAGCCCGACCATTGCGCCTGCGCTTGGAGAGCTCCGTCCAAATCTGGTAGGACTTGACACGGCAATGATGGTAGATTGCCTGGTTGCTCTGTACTGTACTGTGGGAGTGGAATATCGGTCAAGGCTAAAGGAAAAGAGTCTGGAATGGCACTGTGCTAGGTCGTAGGTTCTAGGCTTCAGGGGCTGTGGTTCAAGGGTCCAGGCTTGAAGCTTCAGGGCGCAGCACATAAAACCGTCAGGGCCCCAACACGGCTTCGAACTTGTGCTGACATCGTACTTGCGCGATGTATTTCTATCTCTGCTTCAGAAGGACAGCACAGCAATCAGCGCCAAGGCACCGCTGCTCCGAAGCATTCGGCCCATGACATCGCTCCGCAGTCCGTCTAAACCTGCAATCATTCAAATCACCAGCTTGCGGCTAAAGTCCAGGGTCTGTTGTGTCTTGGGAAGCGAGAATAAAAGATTGAATTTTGGGAAACGAAAACCCAGAAGTGTTGAATTTTGGAAACGGAGAACCCAGAAGTGTTGAATTTTGGAAACGGAGAACCCAGAAGTGTTGAATTTGTGAAACGGAGAACCCAGAAGTGTTGAATTTGGAAAACGGAGAACCCAGAAGTGTTGAATTTGTGAAACGGAGAACCCAGAAGTGTTGAATTAGGGAAACGGAGAACCCAGAAGTGTTGAATTTTGGGAAACGAGAACCCAGAAGTGTTGAATTTGTGAAACGGAGAACCCAGAAGTGTTGAATCACAGATGTGATTCAACACTTGGGACACACGTGGAAACCGGAAATTCAACACCCAATGCCTTCTGGAAAAAACAGGCCAGAAGTGTTGAAACAGAGCTCTGGTTCAACACTTCCGGCCTGTCCTAGTCATTTTTTCATATCAATGAGTTTTTTCAAAACATGCTTTTTTGCACCAAAAGGCAGCCTGGTGTTGAATCGCAGCTGTGATTCAACACCCATTCGTCTTCGAAATTGAGAAGGGACCGGTGTTGAATTTCCTCTGCCTGCCGGCGATCTGATTTCCTTCCAACCACCGGCGTTGGCCCTAAATGTCCATGCCGCACCTCAATTTTTTTGCAAAAACGATGTCGCAAAAGTAGATACGCACGTCTCAGAACCCAACCCGGGAGACCTTTCAAATTACATTCAAAACGCAAGCCAAGTGTGTCCCAAGTGTTGAATCACATGTGTGATTCAACACTTCTGGGTTCTCCGTTTCACAAATTCAACACTTCTGGGTTCTCCGTTTCACAAATTCAACACTTCTGGGTTCTCGTTTCCCAAAATTCAACACTTCTGGGTTCTCCGTTTCACAAATTCAACACTTCTGGGTTCTCCGTTTCACAAATTCAACACTTCTGGGTTCTCCCTTTCCCAAATTCAACACTTCTGGGTTCTCCCTTTCCCAAATTCAACACTTCTCAGTTCTCCGTTTCCAAAATTCTTCTGGGTTCTCCGTTTCACAAATTCAACACTTCTGGGATCTCCGTTTCACAAATTCAACACTTCTGGGTTCTCGTTTCCCAAAATTCAACACTTCTGGGTTCTCCGTTTCACAAATTCAACACTTCTAAGTTCTCCGTTTCACAAATTCAACACTTCTGGGTTCTCCCTTTCCCAAATTCAACACTTCTGGGTTCTCCGGGAATTTCCCCAAATCCAACACTTTTGCTAGTCTAGTGGCCTGTCGAAAATCAAAGATACTGAATTCAACGACTTCTGGGTTGTCAGTTTACGATAATCCGACACTTATTCTGGGTTCTCTTTATCCAACATTCAAGTTGTCTAAGTTCTGAAAATTGGAACACCTCTTGGTTTCGCCCGAAAGCTTAGCAGTGACTGCTGAGCTCTCCTTCCGAAACTTGAACATGTCATGGTTTTCCTTATGAACACTGACGTTGCGCTGTTTTTCGTGTTTGCGAAAGCAAACAGTCAATTGACCCCTGGGTTCTCCCCTAAGGCACAGGTTGAACAGATATGGTGTGGGGGTTTTAGGCTTTAGGGTTTAGGGAAAGTAGCGAAGGCTTGAAGCCTAAGACCTGACACGGCCACAGATCGGGCTTATTACTAGGATTGGGCGACCGACGGATTCGAATGGACAATAATAACGATTCGGACAAGCATCCATTCGAATGGACTATAATATCGATTCGGATGGACAGGGACCGGTCATCGTAAATGAAACCAGAAAAGTATCGATTCGGATGGACATGGACCGAGCATCGTAAATTAAAACAGATGGGGCGACCAACGGATTTGATTTGACAACACCGATTCGGACAAGCATCAAATTCGAATGGACCATATACATCTCGATTCGGATGGACACGGACCGATGATCGGAAAAAAACAATATCGATTCCGATGGGCACGGACCGATCATCGTAAATGAAAAAAGGATTGTCAATGGGCGACCAACATATATTCGAATCGACGACTAATTAATATCGATTCGGACAAGCATCAAGCATCATCAATCGGCAAACCAACCACTTAACATCAGAATCAGCTCCCCTGAACTCACCGGCTCCCCTCAACGAGACGGCCAGCTTAGTAGTTAGGCTCGATGGTTAAGGACATTAGGGAAGGGGTTCCGATTCAGAATTGGGCCTGTCAAAGCTTTGTACACTTGACCTTGACTTTTATTTCAGGCTTTAGGATTTTAAGGAAGTTAAGGGAGGGTTGAACTTATTATGCTAAGTATCTTAGCGTAACTCCGCACAAAACACTCGGCCTCGGAATCAGAATCAACGGCCGGCTCGTCTTGGTCGGGGTGGCCAACCAGCCCTGCCACCACGGCCGCGGCCGCGACCCTTGCCAACTGCAGGAGTCGGTGCTGCAGAATCGAAAGCATTCTCCGCGATTTGCAGCGCTTCTTCCCAAGGAACGCCCTCCGCCCAAGCAGTCGCGGCAGAATCATAAATGATGCGGCGCTTGGTGCGCGCAACGTAGTTCGCAACGACGGTCTTGTTGCCTGGCGGCCTTTGAAGCCTCCGAATCATGATTACTTCAGGTTGGACGATCAAAATGAACCAGTCCCAAAAATAATCTTTGAAGCAGAATCAAAATTAATGCTGTCGCGGCAACCGCAGAAGATTCGCTGTCGGGTCCGCTACGCTGTGTGGCACCACAAACTGTCCCGAAGGCACGGAGTCGCAAGCAGAGGCCCGGATCCGACACCTGAAAGACTATAGGCTTGGTAACAGATCTTTCGAGGCTTAAAGGTTTAGGGAATACTAACAACTGGCAGAAAAAAAAAGTGGCGAGACCTCCAAGAGAGAGGTTGATAGGTAATCCGTAGGGTCTGGTCACTAGCGGTCCACGTTGTGAAAGATGTTCCATATAAGAAACAACAGCCTCAGCCTGCCTTGAACCAATTGTCATACTGGAATATTATATTCGTTGTCATGTTGACGAGGTGCGCATCTACGTTGATCAAAGGCTTCAGCGGCGTAGTCCCGGACACCCAGCCTTGCAGATAGTCCACCGCTTCTTGCAGCTTGAAGTCCAGCAGAAGTGGAGTGTAGCGTTCGATTTGCTCGCGCATCTCCGGCTCGATGGGCCTCTTCCGTGCCACTCCTGAATGTCAACTACCACGAAGATTCAATTACATGCTGATATGATGTAAACAAACTGCTATTTGAACACCAGTATTACAAGCAGGATTCCGGCTGGCAGCCCATGTGGCAGTCTCGTCAAGGCCACGTGGCGAGGATACCATCTGAAGCAACTTTCGTAGGAGGGGTTGTGCATCCATTGCTTCGTTCGCAGCACGACATCATGGGCATGCTCCGGCCAGCCACTCCACAAGCGATTCATGATCGGGACGTTCACAACTGACAGGGCATCAAGTTCAAGGCAGGAAGTCAAGTCTCCATGTCATTTTTATAGTTTAGTTGCTACCGACTCCCAGGATGCGACCCTGAAGCATTGATCCCAAGACCAACTCCACAAACTGACCACTGAGCGCCACTCTCGATTATATACGGCAGAGCGAGGAGGACGTGGCGGGGGCGAGGCAAACAAGTTCGGGCGGTCTTGTGGCTTCTGAGGCCTACTTGGGTGGGGGTTATAAGGAATTGGGGAGGGGCGGGGCAAACAAGTCCAGTCCAAGCTGTCTTGTGGCTTCTCAGCCTACTACTTGGGTGGGGTCATAAGGACTTGGGGGGGCGGGGCAAACAAGTCCGGGGTGTCAGTGGCAAACAAAGGAGGCAGAAGCATCACACTGAGACTCTCAGTTCACAAGTTGACGGGAAGACGTGCAACAAATCAAGAAAATCATATGCTTTACGGGATGATAACTCATATCGGAAAGTCGCGGCCGAAACGGACTCTGATCGAACGGATGTGAGAGAATGTACCCTGCTGCAAGCCTGGGAGGTTGCAGCGTCTGTCGAACTGAAACACGTGCGGTGCCCCAGGACCCCCGATTCCTTTCAAGGCCACCGGCACGGCCCCTGCGTAAAAGGAGTTCCTGGTGATTCGGCTCCGATCGAGGAAAAAAATGCGTACTATTTATCATCAGCTCAAAGAAGGAGACTTTCAGCTCCGAGGCTGACATACCGTTTGCGCATTAAGGTGGTTAAATACGGTGGCCAGACTTGTTTGTTCACGGGGACACACTTAATATTCCGGCTTGACTTGGATTGGTTGAAATCCAAGAATGGAATCGTCCACTAATATTGCGTGATACACCGGAGAAAGACAAAAGAACAGATGCCATTCTCAGCAATCGAGCTTCCAGTCGCGTGTCTGGTCCACTTGCACCACTCGGGAGACCTTTTCGGAAGGCCGCTTCAGAGCCCCGAGGAAGTTTCTGATGTGGAGACAGAAGTCCGCAATGGTCAAAGCGGACTTCACCCGGGACGCCAAGTGTCGCGACAACGTTCCAAAAAGTTGGTCTATGTCTTCGTGAGAGTGTCCGGTGCGTAAGCACCGGACACTCCCACTTCTGATAACACCAGCCGAAACGAGACCAGAAAGCCACCGCAGCGTAACGTTGTTCTTCACCTCCCTCGTCGTGTTGTCCGACTGAATATGGACATTCATGTCGGACAGAGTCCCTCCAAGTTCAGAAACCAGCTGGAGGCAGTAGGCGAGGATCTCGATGCAAAAATTTGCATCTTTGGGCAAGTCAGCGTTGGCGACTGCAAAAACAACGGCCCATCCATGAATGATAGCGCCGCTGACGTGGAGCTTTGGCCGATTGAAGCTGTCAAAGCACTTCGCACGTAGCTTCGGGTCTCGCGGCACCAAGAACTTGGACTGATCGATCCCGTCGATGATGATGGTAAGGTCAGTGCCCCGAAGCTGGGAGCGTCCACGTGCCTCCCAGTATTGCAGCCTGTCGCGATACTGCGCAGTCAAATGCTCAAAGTATCTGTCTTGCGCAGCTTGTCGTGCTCTCAGGTGGTGTGCCAGGCCAGATATCATAGTTTTATGACGCAAGCATTGCGTGCACTGAGCATGCGAAGACCGAGGTCGAAAGCTCAGATGCGGGAACTCGCGTTTCCACACCTGGGTTTTAAATGCCAGGCCTCTGAACCTTTATTCGTCTCCAGAGTTTCAGCACTCGCTCAAACTTTAAACTTGAGATACAGATACGAGCTGGCTTTTTGTTCTCTCCAAAAGAACAAAAGATAGGACCTGCGTCATGAAAAGGAAGGTATGAAACTCGCCAAGACGCCCGCCAGAACGTGGGGAAACTGACCTTCTGCTCCGGTGCACAGTGGCGCAAGTATTGTTCGTGATACTCACGCATGTCGCCCGGCGGCAGGAAGCCTTTCAATTCAACACAAATTTCGAACTCATCATAAGGAACGCCACTTGGACTGGCAAATGGCCATAAACCAACAAAGAAACACAATGTCTACGGCATATCGTGCGAGCGGCGTTCCTCAGGTCCTCCACCCTGCGGAGTGCGGCTCTGGTTGACGACCACCGACCGACACGTCGATCGCTTCTTCTTGTGCAGTGCAGCTGCATAGGGGTCGGCATCCGGATCGGTCGAAACGTCGAAAGCGAAGTCCGACTCCTTGACCTCCCCCGGCTCGTCTCTGACGTCCGGAAGGCTTTCTGCCACGGATTCGTACATCCTGGTCAAGAAAGAAAAAACCTCCGAAGTTCCCGGAGCCACCTGACCTTTCTTGGGAGATTTCAGGTACCGTTGATCCACCGGCGGCTTCGGCTGACCACGCCGCACAGCCGTCAGCAACTTCTTGAGCCGACCGAATCCTGACAAGCAAGGGGTCGTCTAACAATTCTTAGCTACTCGCGAATACACAGACTTGCTGTATGGAAAATGAAAACATACCAACATTGTAATTCATTTGCTGATGATAGTCCTATGCCGTGGAGTTGTCTCCAAGCTCGTGCGCAAACTGGCCTTCCAAGAAACTTCCATGTCAAGGTCTGGCGGGCTTCAAGTTGAGCTTCTTCGTGCATTTGCTTCAGTTTCTCGAAGACCTCAGCTTTGAAAGCACACTGAAAGCGATCCGAAGGACAACTCCTTCTATGAGTAGTTTAAATCCAAAAGACTTGAAAGCGTTTCATGACATTTGATATAAGGCACCACTTGATCCTGGTCCACTTTGTGATACTCCATCCATGTTCTTCTAAAAGAGCGCAAGGCCTCGAAGTTTTTGTGAAGCCGGTACGGGGCCTTGCAGCCTTTACGACATTTTGCATGGCATTTCCGTGCCACCATCCGTTCCAAAGCTAATGCATTGTCAGGAGCAGGTCGCTTGCTCTTGGGCCGGTTGTCGAGACCCTTGCGCTTTCGCTTTCGAGTTCCGGCAGTTTCAGATTCTTCTTGCTCTGCCAGGAAGTCCTCGGAGCTGTCTGACAGCTCCGTCACATCCTTCAGCACAACCTGGCCGCCTCCTCGGGCTGCAACCAGAGGACCAAAACATGCAGGTGGCCGCAAGGCTGCAGGCACACAGCTACTCGAGGATGAAGCCATGCCATGTTTGCGCCGTTGGGAAACTTCCTCATGGTTGACACAGCGAGACTAGTACAGACCCGAATGTTCAGTACCCTGCATCGGCCGCCTGCACAGGGGCGGGAGCTCCGAACGGGACCTCGGGGTTTAACGTGAGGGTTCAGTGCATGAAAGCGA